GCAGTGAGTTGAGATCGCACCATTGTACTCCAGTCTGGGTGACAAGAGCGAAACTCTGTAAATAAATAAATAAATATCCTACAATGCACACGACAGCCTGCATGAGGAATAACTGATCCACCCAGTATGTCAGTAGAGCTGAGGTTGAGAAACTCCTGTATACCACACATTAGGCTAACTAGATCTGGGCCCTAGTCTCAGCCTGTTTTCTCACCAGTCTTATTTCTTCATCTGTGAAACAGGGTTAGTGATTTCAAAACCTGACTATTACATCAGAACCACCAACAAAGTGTTAAAATATACACATTCCTGGGCCTCACCTCCAGGCATGGGTGAGAATGGCTCTGGGGTGGAGTCCGGGAATCATGTGGCCAGTCCAAGAGCAAATGGGTAGTAACTAGATCAGGGGTGTCATCTTTTGGCTTCCCTGTGCCACATTGGAAGAAGAATTGTCTTGGGCCACACATAAAATATACTAACACTAATGATGGCTGATGGGCTAAAAAAAAATTCTCATGATGTAAGAGTTTACAAATTTGTGTTGGGCTGCATTCAAAGCCGTCCTGAGCCACATGCAGGCTGTGGGTTAGACAAGCTTGAATTAGATGATCTGATCTGTTTTTAGTGCAAGGATTTTATTATAGTGAGATTGTAGTGCTGGCTCTATTTTTAAGTAGCTCTTGGGCAAATCTCTAATCCTCTGTCTTAAAAAACTGAAAGCCTGGAGGGTGCGGTGGCTGACACTTGTAATCCCAGCACTTTGGGAGGCTGAGGCAAGTCGATCACCTGAGGTCGGGCATTCAAGACCAGCCTGACCAACATGGAGAAACTCCATCTCTACTAAAAATACAAAATTGGCCTGGCATGGTGGCGCATGCTTGTAATCCCAGCTTACTTAGGAGGCTGAGGCAGGAGAATCACTTGAACCCAGGAGGTGGAGGTTGCAGTGAACTGAGATCAGGTCATTGCACTCCAGCCTGGGCAACAAGAGCGAAACTGTTTCAAGAAAAACAACAAAACAAAACTGAAAGTCACATTCTTGCTCCGCAGAGTTTGCGTGAGGGAAGTGAACAATTTGATAAAAAAATAGTTTGCATGTGCTGTGGCTGTTAGTGCCATGGGCCAGCAGGTTGAGGGGAGCTGAGTCCATGATGATGTCAAGTTATCCCTGTCTGAAGGCAAAGAAAGGCCTTTCAGTGTGGAATTTGAATATCTGAAACTCAGTTTCCCAAGTTTGCCTTACAGAAATTTTAAGCTGCTTGAGAGTTACTCTGCGTGTATCTTCTTAAGTAGTTTTTTTTCTTAATTTCTCTTCTTCCCAGGTGCAGTGAGCCTCAGTTTCTGAGGCCGGAAAAGGATCCTCTAGTAGCCACATTGTGGCAGTTGCCCTGAACCAGGACCTGGACCTGGACCTGGACCCAAATTGCCATGTCTTTAATGCATGTAAGTAGACGAACTGGTAAACAGGCTTGGTTTGGGGGAGTGGTAATCTTTTTTGCTTCCCCTGCTCTGGACTTAAAGCAATGGATGCCAAGGGGCAGGGAGACTTTAGTGGCGTTTTGTTGCTAGGTGTCCGCAATAAGAGACAAAACTGAACTGCTTTGCCGGAAACAAGTGAAATGATTGCTTTCCTGTTTGTAAGCTTTGTTTTTACATCTTTCATAGCCCTAAGAAGTCCCACAAGCCTGTGATGGTTAGTTATCCCTGTCTGAAAATCTGGACTGAGGGAAATCATCTATTCTGAGGCTTAAGGGTTTGGCTCCATGTTTTTTTCCCCCTTTTTTCCCCTCAGCATATCCTGCTGAGAGCCCAGTCTAGAGAGCATCATTCCTCTAAAACGTGAAAAGCAAGTGTGTGGTTGCCCTGCTTTCTCTAGTCCTTTGATTATGGCTCTGAGGGTACAGGCTGTATGAGGTGGCGGAAATGCACAAGTAGCCAGGATTTGATTTATGCCCTTATTGTGGAATGAAAGTGTTTGTTACTTATTTCAAGAAAATGAATGTGCTCTTAGAAACAGAGTGGAATGTAGGATGTATGCCAGCTTGTGGCAGTGAGCATGCTTGACGACTCTGACCTTGCCTCTGCTCCAGGGTCCTGACATTTAGGGGAAACCACGGCTGTTTGGTTTCTATGTGCTTTGTTAAGGATGCCAGGGAGGTCTCCTGAGTTTGTAGCTTAGATCCTGTCTGAATGTCAGGACTGGTGTGTGAGCAAGAAAGAAGCCAAGTGGTGCTGGAGGGTGGGGTGCCCGGCTTTGTTCCCATTTGAATGCCAGGCTTGAAGTGCACACAGATTGCCTTTCTTTTCTGTTGAAATGGGAGGTGTGTGCAAACTCTTTGTGTTTAAGGTTGTGTTTTTGCTGGACACCAAAGAAGCTGTATTCTGGGTTAGATTTAATGAGCCTAAAAACTGGCCCCAGTAGTTTACAGCCTGCAAGTAAAACAGTGAAAAGGGCAGCTTATCAAGTGGTTATTGTCTGCTGAGTGGACTTGGCTACAGAACTCAAGTAAACCATAAGATTTGACTTGAAATGTTTATATCCAGAGTTGTTTACTGGCCTCTTACCAGCAACTGCTCCCTCAGAGGTACTATCTCCTTAAAATGAGTCATCCTGGATCCCCACCAGCCTGCACCAAAATGATGTGATAGTGCCCCGTTATGCTCCCCCAACGCACACATGCCTGCTGGTGGTGAGAATGAGTGCTCTTAGACTGACTGCCTTTTTCTCCCAAATTAGTTGTTACATAGCATTCAGTTTTGAGTCACTTCCTTGGCTGTTACTTCAAATTATTCTCCTGTTTTATAGGTTAGCTACTAGCCATGCCAGATGGGATCAGCACAGCCCTGCCTCTGCTGCTAAAGTAATCGCCATGCCTTCTTCGGGCTTCATCTTTAAAGGAATGAAGTGACTGAGATTATTCTGGAAAAGCTTTTGGCAGTTAGTGAAATTAGAGTACAACTAAGAACATTTTCAGACCTCCACTGTGGATGACCTGGGTATAATCTCACAAATCGACGGGAATGCAAGGATTGTAAACTGAAATGAACGCGATTATACTGTGTTGGAAGAGCCTAAGAGGAAACCGATGCCGTGAGTTTCAGAGAGTAACGCTTAACCCCAGTTACACAGGATACCATCTTGTGTTTTCTCTCTTTCAGTTACCCACTACGTTGATTTTGTGATCTGCTAATGGGTTGCCACCCACAAACATTGCTTTAGCACTTTTACTTCAAATCAATGAAGGACTGAGAAAAGTTCTCCTGGTGTCTCCACAGAGTGGCTTCCAGGAACAGGTCTTTGCATAGAATATCAGTGGTTTCCTTTTTTGTTTCAAATAATGGTCAGAAGATATCCAGTGTTGACTCACCAAGGCAATCAGGTTCCTTTTTCCTTTTTTTTTTTTTTTTTTTTTTTTACATTTTATATTTTTGCTCTTTTTTATTTTAGTTTATTTTATTTATTTTTTGAAACGGAGTTCCACTCTGTCACCAGGCTGGAGTGCAGTGGTGTAATCTCAGCTCACTGCAGCCTCCGCCTCTCAGGTTCAAGCAATTCTCTTGGCTCAGCCTCCTGAGTGCTGAGACTACAGGCGCCGCGTACCTTCTTTAGTAGAGACGGGATTTCACCATGTTGGCCAGGATGGTCTCTATCTCCTGACCTTGTGATCTGCCTGCCTCAGCCTCCCAAAGTGCTGAGATTCCACGCAGGAGCCACCACGCCCAACCTTTTTTTTTTTTCTTTTTAATTTAAATTTAAATTTTTTTCATTTTTTTGAGACAAATTTTTGTTTGTTTGTTTGTTTTTTGTTTTTGAGACAGTCTTGCTCTGTCACCCAGGCTGGGAGTGCGGTGGCATGATCTCTGCAACCTCTACCTCCCAGGTTCAAGCAATTCTTGTGCCTCAGCCTCTGGAGTAACTGAGACTACAGGTGCATGCCACCACTCCTGGCTAATTTTTTATGTTTTAGTAGAGACAGGGTTTCAACCATGTTGCCCAGGTTGGTCTCGAACTTCTGAGCTCAGGCAATCCACCCGCCTTGGCCTCCCCAAGTGCTAGGATTACAGGTGTGAGCCACCACACCCAGCTATTTTTTCTTTTGTTTTTTAATTTTAAAGTTGGGGTCTCAATTTGTTACCCTGGCTGGTCTCGAACTCCTGGACTCAAGCGATCCTCTGGCTCCGAGCCCACTACCAGTCTCAGGTTTTTTACTAAAAGATCACTACCTTTTTTTCCTCTTATCTGCTGCCATGTGAGATGTGGCTTTCACCTTCCGCCGTGATCGTGAGGCCTTCCCAGCCACGAGGAACCGTAAGTCCAATAAATTAAAAAAAAAAATCACTATATAAGATACTAGGATGGATTGTGACCGTTGAGGGGTGCTTACATATCCCACATTTGACTACATTCTTTCCAAACTAAGTATTCTATCCAAAGGAACATACTGCTATCATGGAGACCAAAGAGGGACTATTTAAGGTTGCCAAGGTGAAGCGAGCTGAGAGGCTCTGTTCTGGTGCCAGCAACTCTGAAATCTTAATTCCTGCTGTCCAGGCAGCAGAATGCCATGGTTTCCCCAAGTAGGTAGCTGCTTTAGCAATTAATGCCCAAATGTCTGTTCTGTTCATCAGAGGTCTCTGAATTTCTGAAGGGGTATTTCGTTTCTGGTGACTGAGTTAATCCCCATCCCTCTTGTAAAGTGTGCTAATAGAATCAGCCTTTCAAAGCTACAGAACCAGACTGTGCCCTAAATTGACCAACATGATTGATGTGCCTCGGGAAGTCTCTTGCCAGCTGTCCCTGTGAAGACCTCCCCCCCCGCTGCTGCCTTGCACACTGAAGCATCTCACACTGTGCAGAGCCATTTAGTCATCAAGACAGTAAATCCCAGGGCTGGGTTAAGTGCTGTGTGATAACTTGGATGAGACTTCTTTAAAGCCACTTACAATAAAATTAGGAAACTACCGTCAGCTAAGTTCAAATTTACCGAAGCCGAGATACAAGGATGAGGGTTTATTACCTGGTAACATCATCCTGTTGGTGACAAGGTGGGGATACGTCTCTAATGGGACTTCCCTCAGTGGCAGGCAGGCTGCCAAGCAACTAACCCCCATCGAGTGCCAGACCCTCCCAGTGTTCTGAGAGTGATCTCCATGCTGAACACCCTGCATTTTATATGATTTCTCGACCCAGCCAAAAAAAAGAAAATGGTCCATCTTGTACACAGTTATCTAGTCTTAAGTTACATTCTTTTTTCTCCCACTTTATTATGGAGCAGAAGTAAGCCTATCATGTTCTTAGAAAGGCTCTTAAGAGGTGTCCTGGAGTCCTTGAATCACCTTAGCCTCTGGGGTAGGATGCGCCACCAGGAGGATTTGGGCTGGAGCTTGTGTGTTTGCCTTTCACCTGTACTGCTGTTTGATCTTGGTGAACACTCCACCGACATTTCCTAAATTTGCTCAGTGCAAATCCAGCAAAGCAGTCCATTTTCCCTTGGCCAAGATTGAGATGTGTTGTTTTAGATGCATAGAGGAGTTTTCTTGGATGAGCCAAGGACAAGCTGGGGTGTCCTGGATTGAACAGACCTCGATGATAGTCGTGAATTCACCCCAGTGCCCTCTGTTGGAAAGAAAGGAAGGTGAAGATTGAAAAGTTAAGAAAAAAGCTTTTGGCCACTTGAGAGGATCAGGGCCGCAAGTCTTGAAGAAGCAAAGGGTTCAGTGCCTTGGGGTCAGCGCTGGTACAGCCGAAGGATGCCAGCGTTGTGTAGGTCTCTCCACAGGGCAGCTTCCAGGGACAGATCGTGGTTTGCATAGAATATCAATGGCTTCATTTTCCGTTCGAAATAGTGGTCGGAAAATTTCCAGTAGTTGCTTGTGATGAATCCGTAGGCACTGACCTGGGCAAGGATAGTCATTGGATTAGTATTTGTTGAGCATCTAGTGTGAAGTGACGTAAGTTTAGAAAGGTGTCCCCCTGCTGAGGTGAGGATAATGGTCTAGGGCTTATTCCCACTTAGCAAGTGGCGAGATGGATTCAGGGGTGACTCACTGTGTCCCCACGTCGCATAGCTGGTGATTGCCAGAGCTGGGTTTGGAACTGGAGGGTGGATGCAAAAGCCCATTACTACTCTCTCCCCATCCTAATTGGGGACTGCAGTCAAGACACTCCTGCATTAAAATAGGAAAAGGCCCGGTATGGTGGCTCACGCCTGTAATCCCAATGCTGGGAAGCTGAGGTGGGAGGATCACTTGAGCTTGGAAGTTTGAGACCAGCCTGGGGAACATGGTGAGACCCCGTCTCTACAAAAAGTTAAAAAAAAAAAAATGAGCCGGACGTGGCGGTACCTGCCTGTGATCCCAGCTACTTGGGGATCATCACACCACTGCCCTTAAGCCTGAGCGACAGAGTTGAGACCCTGTCTCAAAAAAGAAAAAAGAGGGAAAAGATACAGGCCTGAGTCATGGAGTGGCGTTTGGCCTCCAGCTCTCCGTAGCAGCTTAACATGGGCCATGGCCTCTCCTTGAAAGCTGCTGCTTGGCCCCTGCCTCCATGAGGTTCACGTGGGCCACATCCCATCAGGAATGACTCTTAGGTGCTTTCCAAGTATTTGTGTGTTTGTGTGTGGGAGGCTAAACCTACTGCCCCACCCGCGCTCTGGGATGTCCCCATAAAAGAATGTCCTTATTCAGCCCAGTGTGTTGAGGAGATTGGCTTTCACAAGGGCAGTTTGATGATTTGAGCCTTAAATACCATATTGAGTGGCTGCCTTGGAGAAGAGCGAAAGAAGGAAGCCTGGGGAAGATGTCAGGAGCCAAGGCAAGGCTGGTCCAGGACCTGCCTGCCCTTCAAAGGGCCCTGGGTGGTGGGCAAGGAAGTGGGCAGCACCGGCAGCACTCTTGGAGCTGGGGATTCCGTGAACAGAGGCCGAGAGTCCCAGGTCCGAGGGTAAGGGGTATCAGGGGATCCTGCAGGGTTCTGTTCATGTTCTGCCGGCATGGGCTTCTGGAAGAGAAGGCCTCTTACCTGGTCACAAGTATGCAAAGCTGTCAGCAGCATGAGAGCCCCGGTACTAGGCATATATAGGTCTCCAAAATTGGTGTTAATCAACTTTGATTTCAAGAACCTGGAAGCAAAACGACGTTTCAGCTCACCAGCTTGATGGTTGTATCATCACACTTCACAACTACACATTCAGATAGGTGGGAAAACCTCAAAAACTCAGGGCCTTCTACTCCTATCAGTTCTTTATTTGGTCCAAGCGGACTAAATGCAAAGATCTTTGAGACCTTAGGTAAGGTGGGGGGTGAGAAAGAGGAACCACAGGTGAAATCCTTCCCCCTTTCGGCAACAGCCTGTTTTCACCCCAAGCTACTAAGTAACCACACTGCCAAGGGCATAGGTGGCCTGTTAATTTAGCCTGAGACTGCGGTTTCTCTCTACCCCACATCTTGATTAAGTAGAAATCACGTGTGAGGGACAGGGAGCTCAGACCCTGTGACTGGACCCACATAGTCCAAGAGTGAGGCCGGGGTGTGACCACTGGCTCTGACCTCAGGCCTGAGTTGACATCAAGCTGTGCCAGGCCGGTCACCTGACTTCTCTGAGCCTGTCTTCCTCTGTAGCATGGGACTAGTTGGAGGGGCTTCATTTACCTCCCTAGATCCACTCACCCCTCTCCAACAGCTCCCTGCCCTTGGATTCGAGCCTCTGGTCCACAGCAGGGTTTCTCGGTCTCAGTGCTGTTGACGTTTGGGGCCAGGTGCTTCTTTGTTGCTAAACGGGGACGTTCAGCAGCATCCCTGGCCTCTACCCACTGATGGCACTTGCCCCCACCACCCTTTCAACAACCCTGGACGAGGGCCATATGCACATCCATATTGAGAACTCCTGGCAGGAGGGAGGGAAGGGAGGGGAGGGGTGGAGGCTGTTGCCTGGGTCCCTCCCCGCACCTTGTGTCGGTATGTTTGGGCCTGAAGATTCTGATGGCCTGCTGCTGACAGCCCCACTGCTGCTGTGCACGTTATGGCCCCCAACTCCCAGTCTGCCTTTGTGAACAGTTCCTAGTAAATACACCTTGAGTTATCCTGAGTTTCCTGTCCATTTCTTGGGGACTGACATATATCACACTCCCTCTATCAAGGTGCTAAATAAAACAGTAAATGAAGTGACAGTGCTTTGCACACAGCACTCGGGACATTGGAGCTCTGGTTATTGGTCAGTGTGTGGGGCTCGTGGGAGGGCTCTGCCTGGATGTAGGGTGGGTATGTAAAAGCGGGAAGGAAAGGGACGCTGTTCTTCAGGCACCCCACTCCGTACCTTTCTGTCAGGTAGCTGATGAAGTCCGGATGTAGCAGCTTGAATTTACTGGCAGAAGCTTCTGGTCCAAAATAAGTGTGCGGCCTAGGACCCATGATAGAAGTGGACAGAGCGCCCAGAGCCGTCGTATTGCAAGGGGGAGATGGAGGGGAGGGTCAGGGTGCCAGAGTAGCCGCGGTACCCTGAGCGGTAGGAGCGGGGCTGGGAGTAGTAGCGGGAAAAGGGGGTGTAGAAGGTGGCAGGCAGCACGGTGGGGACCACATGTGGCTTCCCGCTCACCAGGACCTCCACGGGTGGGGTGTAGGAGAGAGAGGAGGGGGGCATGAACAGACCGGGGGGAGTTGGGAAGGGGCAGTGAAACTGGGGGTGGTGGGGGGGCGGGGGAAGGAGAGGTAAGTAGAGCGAGTCAGGAGGAGGTGGGGGCTTCCGGGCAGGGCAGGGAGAGGGACAGGCAAAGCATGGGTTTTGGGGAAGTGGTGCTGTGGGGGGCTGGAAAAAGGGGGGCTCCTTCAGAAAACGGGGCACATAGGGGGTGATATAGGATGGGATGTTCTGAATTGGTCCGATATAGGAAGATGAGGGGGCAGGGCTGTAGAAGGACTTGGGGGGCACAGTGGGGGTTAGGGAAGGGTTTCGAGAGAGGGATTTGAAACCAGACTGGGAGGGAGATTTGGAGGTGGGTGGGGTGGAGGATTGGACGGCCCCGCGGGGCACGTGTTGGACCTGAGGACTGGGGTTCAGGGAGGAAGTCCGGGAAGAGGGCTGTGAGGCACTTGGGGTGGGAGGGTGGGAGGGGGGCCGGGAGGAAGAGCCCCGAGTGGGGGAAGGGGCTGAGCTCTCGTGAGGCTGCTGGCCTGGAGGGGTGACAATGCTATTGGAACGGGACTGGGAGGGAGACTGGGTAGGGGACGGATTAGGGGTGTGGGAAGGGGAGCTCATTGGTGTTGGGGAGGCTTAGGTCCACCCGATGTCTCTGAGGCAGCCCCAAGAGTCCAAGCCCAGCGTGTCACAAAGCCCAGCTCAGACCAGCAGTGGAAGCAATTGTTGGGTAATCACCAGGGCAGGGGGCGGGGTGGGCCTGGCTTTAGAGCCCTTAACCCGTAAGGACCACCTGTAAAGCCGCTCTGTGGGGGTGGGCGAGATGTCCTCAGGGAGACCCCAGAGATAGGGCTGGTTGTCTGGGCCACAGCAGTGGCGTTGATTTTTAGGGACCTGATCTCAGGGACAAGAAATTATCTCAGAACCCCCGGGAGGAGGTTCAGATGAGGGTCAGGTGGTGGCTCAAGAGAGCTGGACCCAGGCCTGCTGTGCAGGAAGGTGGGAAAGAAGACAAAGGGCCCATTGTTTCCGCCTCTCAGGATGCTGGGCCTTGAGTCTGCTCTCCCGTGTCACAGGCATGACCCTGGGACGGATGCCCACCAGGAGGAGTGGCACAGACTGGCCCCGACTGGCTTCCAGCACAGTGTGCTCAATGGGACAGCAGACCCTGCCCAGTTTGTGACCTGGAGCCGCCGGGGGCAGCCGGGCTGGGCAGGGAGAGCACAGCCTGAAGCCGAGGAGCCAGACCTGCTCGTCCCATTCGGAAAAGCTGCCTCTCCCGCCCCGAGCCCACCACCCCAGAGGGCTACTGGGAACCCGGAGGGTCACCTGGGCTTTCCAGGGGTGGACAGAAAGTAGAATTTCCCAGTGCTGAGTTACGTGAATAATTGGAGATGATTGAATTCTTAGGGCTTTTCTTGCTGCCCTTCACCCACCTCCTTTTACCCCATGATGGGCCCTGGGAGCAAAAGGGAGACAACCATAGCGCCCCTGCCCCTCCACGCCCCACACCACCATGGCCTGGCTGCTCACCTGTCCCCTTTATCCAGGCCCTCAGGGACAGGCACGCCCAGAATGGCTGATCTCAGCATCACATAGTCGCGGATGTCTGAGGGGATGAAGATATACTGCAGGTCCTGTCAGAATAGAGACAATGAGCCCAGAGGGGAACCAGGCCATGCTTAGCTCCTCCGTGTGGACAGCCCTCCACCCAACCTTGCCCGCTGAGCCGACCGGAGAATTTCCCTTAAATAACTTTCATTCCCACCCAGAGGTACGGTACTGGTTTCAATGTAGGCCTGCAAATCCTCTAATGCTCCTTCAGGAGGTGGCACCCAATTGCCTTCCCCTAGAGTATGGGCTGGACTTAGCGACGCATACACAGGATTTTTCTGATAAAAAGGAAAGTGATGGTGCGTGGCTTAGAGACTAGGTCATAAAAGGTGCTGTGGCTTCCTTTACGTTCTCAGATCACTCACTCTGGATGAAGTTAGCTGCCATGTCGTGAGGACACTCAGCCTACAGGGGGGCCCAAGTGGCAAGGGCCTGTGAGACGCTGCCTTGATGTCAGCCCCAGTCAAGCTTTTGGGTCTCTCAGACGATGTAGCCCATCATCTCCGTCACCTGAGCCAAAACCTTCCACTAAGCTCCCCGCAAATTCCTGACCCATTGAAACCACAAGATGTTTGTTGTTTAAAGTCACCAAGTTTTGAGGTCATCTGTTACACAGTAATAGATAACTCATATGTGTACTGTGGCGACACCGAAACTGAGGCCGGGCGCGGTGGCTCACGCCTATGATCCCAACAATTTGGGGAGGCCGAGGCGGACAGATCATGTGAGGTCAGGAGTTCAAGACCAGCCTGGCCAACATGGTGAAACCCCATCTCCACTAAAAATATAAAAATTAGCCAGGCGTGGTGGTGCGTGCCTGTAATCCCAGCTTGTTGAGAGGCTGAGGCAGGAGAATCACTTGAACCCAGGAGCCAGAGGTTGCAGTGAACTGAGATCACACCATTGTACTCCAGCCTAGGTGACAGAGGGAGACTCCGTCTCAAAGCAAAAACGAAAACAAAAAGTCTAAAGCTGCTCCATTTTGTTCCACTTCACAGAAGAGAGGTTCTAGTGTGAGGACTCAGTGTGGCGTAGACACTATGGTAGGACACTCCTTAAGCCCCTGGTCAGGGGAAGAAGCTTCTAGAAACCCAGCTCAGCTTCCTTCAGCACTGCAGATTCCCTTTTCCTTGGATCCCCCTAACCCTGCATGTGGCACCCACAGCACCTGAGGAGGGAAGCTTTGAGTTATGGCCCCTGGGTGTGGGTGGAGGAACCTGGAGGCCAGCAGGTAGGGCCAGATGCTGGCTCCCACGCACTGGCTGCCACTTGGTGCATGTCCCTCTGTCTCTGACCCTCAGTTTCCTATACAGGGCTATTGTGAGATTTCGAGAGGCCACACCACATTCTTCCAGGGGCCAATGTGGGGAAATGGAAACAACGCCAGGGCTCGGGTCAGAGGGGCCTAGATCTAGATGGTTCCAGCTGGGTGACCTTGGACACGTTCCTGAACCTCTCAGCGTCTCTGCTTTGTCATCTGGAAATGGGGACAAGGGTCCCACTGAGGGCTGCTGTGGTGACCGTGTGTGTGCCCTGTAACATGCTAGGAACAGAGGAGGAACTCCATAAATCCCCTTCCCCTGGGAATCGCTAGGACAGGCTGAGCTCCCCAAAGAATGCCAACTCTCAAGGTGGGGGGTGCTCTGGGTTCAAATCCTGACCCTACCACTGACTCACTGAATGAAAGGTGCCAGGCTTTTATCCCCTCACCAGTGAAACCATGGGTTGCACGGTCTCTGTAAAGTGCCTGGCAAGTCGTAAGCATTCGGTAAATGCTAGCCATTCATGTCCCATGCTGCAGAGGAGTCCTGTGCCGCCTGAATCCGCAGGGAGTCCAGGACCAGATTCCGCCCTCATCTTCAGCGGCCATCTTGTGTATCCAGAGTCCTAGCACACCCTCTGCACCCACTGGACGAGGGTGTGTGAGCCCCGTGGCCCCCCACTGAGGGGACTCCAGGAACAGTGGTGCCATTGTTAACTATAATGGCATGCCTGCCAGAGGCCTCACCTGTCCTTGTGGCACGGAGGTGAAGCCCAGGTTCCAGTAGGAGACAAGGGAGTTCTTCATCGTGTTCACAGTGAAACCATAGAAGGAAGTCTTGGTGCCCACATCGCGCTCGAAGCCTTTGATCACAGCTCCATTGAGTCTGGTCAGCACAGAAGCCTGTCAGTGTCTGTGGTTACACCAGGCCGTCTGTTCTGCCTCCATCTCTAGGGTTCTGCCTGGCCTGTCCCCCCTGCCTCTGTACGACCACTCCTTCTGCCCACGGCAGTACCAGTGCCCAGTTGTCAGCCAGAATCCCACTCCTCCAGACCTCACGGGGTGACGCCCTGTGAGTAGGTAGAGGTGGCCCTGGCGGCTGCTTCCTCCCGGGTCCCCTGCACGGGCACCCATGCTCTGTCCTCAGGGCCTACTGTTTGTGTTTGCCTTGTCCATGTCCATGTGCCCGTCACAACTGCTGAGCTGCCCAGGTCACTGCTGCCATAGCCCACTGCCCCTGTGGGAGACCCCCCAACCCTCCGGGCAACTCTCCCTCCCGCCCATCCCCAGCCCGTGCCCCTCATACCTGAACACATAGTCATGGGCATCGATGTTGGGACCCTGGCGGGACCCATTCAGAATGCCTCCGTTGCCCACCACGGCACACCGGATACACTTTGGAGGGGAGTCCCTGGGCGGAGCGAACAGCTTGGCGTTCTCTGAGCTGTTCAGAAGGCTCAGGGTGGAGGCGATGGCTGTGGGTGCAGATGGGGAGCAGCCATAAGAAGGGCTGGCATCAGGGCACCTGGGGCCTTCCCTAGGCTGGTTCTGGTGCCCCATGTCCCCTGAGGCCTGACCCCAGCTCCTCCCAAGAAGCACAGAGGGCGGGAGGGGAAGGGGATGTCTGGGTGGGGGAGAACAGAAAAGCTGACAGTGGAAGAGGGGGCTTGGCGGCCTTCACTTGTCTTAACCCGAATAACTTATTCTCTTAAGACTATTCCTACAGAAGTGGGCGCAGAGCTTTAAAAAGACTGGGCCGGGCATGGTGGCTGATGCCTGTAATCCCAGAACTTTGGGAGGGTGAGGCGGGCAGATCACTTGAGGCCAGGAGTTCGAGACCAGCCTGGGCAACATGGTGAAACCCTGACTCTACTAAAAATACAAAAATTAGCCAGGTGTGGTGGGCATGCCTGTAATCCCAGCTACTTGGGAGGCTGAGACGCAAGAATCACTTGAACCCGGGAGGTGGAGATTGCAATGAGCCAAGATTGTGCCATTGCACTCCAACCTGAATGACAGAGCGAGACTCGTCTCAAAAATAAAAAAGACTGTATATTGCAAAAGAAAAGAATCGGAGGCCAGTGGGGGTTTGGGTGCAAGTGTAATGTAGAGGGGGCTCTGGGCCTGCAGTGTGGGAGTTCCTGCAGTAGCAACCGTGAGTGAGGTGGTTTGAGGCCCCACAGCCTCTTTCCTTGGCCACCATTGGACGCTGCAGCCTTTCTTGCCAGGGAGGTCCCAGGTCGGTGAGGGCTGCTGGCGGGGGCAGCCCCAGGCCTCTCACTGACCCCTGGGTGCTTGGACGGAGGAGGGAGGTGAGGCAGGAGTTGCATAGCTGGGGCTTCTGGGAGGAGAGGGGGACAGAGAGGCCCTGTATTACCAGTGCTATGAGGGCAGGGAGGTCTGGCCTACCTCAGGGCCAAGAGCAGGAAGCTGAGAGAAGGCAGGTGAGAGACAGTGGGCCTGGATTACCTTGGTAAGAGAGCCCCCGCCAGCCATACGGGGCTTTGTGTTGGCTCAGGCGGTCCCAGAGCTCTGGGGTGAAGAGGTCCCCCCACAGCAGCACTGGAACAGAGAAATTGAACAGGCCACGGAAGTGGGGGTGCCGCTGAATGGCCAGGTGAAGCAGGTGTCGGCAGGCCTGGCCCTGTGGGTGAGAAGGTGAGGGCTGAGCCTTGTTAGGTGGGGGCTGGGATGGGTGGGACTCCCTGCAGACCCTGCAGGGTAGTTGGGAGTTGTAAGGGAAGGCCTGCCCTGTCCCCTCCAGATCAGAGCCATCCTTGCATTTTTGAACTGAGCTGGCTGCTAGGGGGTCTGGGAACTTTCTGGATTTAGCCTCCCTAGCTCTTCCTCTCCCAGAGGCCACGTCCCCTTGGCCTGATGGCTCTGGCCTCATACTCCTTCACCTCACGCTTGAGCAAACTCGGGCATTTTCTGATGCATGGGTCTGACCTGCCTGCCCTTTGGTGGAGGAGTTTCAGCCTGGGCTGGGCTGAGGCCATCACCTGGATGCAAACCCTAACCCTGCTGGTACTTGCTGTATGATTTGCGCATGAAGAGGCTGCCAGGAAGATCCGTGGTCTTTCTTTCCAGTGGTGCCTTTAGGGGCTAGAAGTGTCCCCCCAAAATTCATTACCCAGAGCCTTGGAATGTGACCTTAGTTGGATCTAGGGTCTTTGGAGATGGAGTTAGTTAAGAGAAGGTCATATAGGGTGAGGTCGGGCCCTAACTAGCATCCTTATAAGGAGGCCAAGTGATGATGAAGCAGAGATCTGTGCGATGCGCCACAAACCAAAGAGGACGTGAAGCCGCCAGAGCTGGGGAAAGGCAGGAGAGGCTTTCTTCCAGCCTTCAGAGGCAGCGTGGCCCTGCCAGCACCTTGATTCTGGGCTTCTGGGCTCCAGAACTGTGACGATTCAATTTCTGTGGATCGAAGCCCCCCAGGCTGTGATCATTTGTTCCAGCAGCTACGGGGAAGGAACACAGCACCTCTGTACTTGTGGGCCTTGAGGTCAGGAAACAGGCCCCAGCCTTGTCTGCCCATGATCTCACAAGGTCAGAATCACACACAGTCATGGCCTGGGCAGGCCTTCTATTACTCCTGAATGGGGCTCTTTGTTAAGCCATTGGTTTGATCAAAGGGCAAAGCAGGAAATAGCTGTACAGTAATTTCTGCTATAATACAACTTGTGAGTGGCTGAATATCACCATGCTGTGCAAAGCTATGCAACCATGACCATGGGGCAGCCGGGCATGGGGGCTCACCCCTGTAATGCCAGCACTTTGGGAGGTCAAGGCGGGAGGATAACTTGAGGCCAGGAGTTTCCATAACATAGCAAGACCCCATGTCTGCAAAAAAAATTTTTTTAATTAGCCAGGCATGGTGGCCCAGGCCTGTGGTCCCAGCTACTTGGGAAGCTGAGGTGGAAGGATTGCTTGAGCCTGGGAGATTGAGGCTGCAGTGAGCTATTGAGACTGCACTCCAGCCTGGACAACAGAGTGAGACCCCATCTCAAAAACAAAACAAAACAACAACAATGGCAAAACGAAAAACCATGGACTTATGAGAAAATGGGATGAGTGACATAACACTGAAAAGCTGTCAGGAATGCATAAAACCAAAGATACAAATCGAAGAAAGACAGAAGCACAGTTTTACGGATGTCCCATGGTTAAAGAATACTTGAGATTGATGTGGAAGTGGGAGTGGAAGTGGGTGTCGGAAGGGGGCAGTTTGTGTGATATTGTGAAATGGTGGAAAGAAGGTTGTCTGAAATCGGAGGGAATTGTGCCACCAGGCTCACTAGGGCAGGTGAACTCATAACACACTCAGTGAAGCTGATGGAGATCTCAGGTGCGCATACACAAAAAAACACGTTTTGTGTATTCCTGCGTGGCTCTGCTGAGTTGGGTGTGGTTTCTATGTTAATCTAGAGTTTTCACTGACAAAATCACTCAAAAGAAAATCCAGGCTGGGCACAGTGGCTTATGCCTATAATCCCAGCACTTTGGGAAGCAGAGGCGGGTGGATTCACCTATGTTCAGGGATTTGAGGCCAGCCTGAGCAACGTGGTGAAACCCCATCTGTGCTAAAAATACAAAATTAGCCTGATGTGGTGGCACATGCCTGTAATTCCAGCTACTTGGGAGGCTGAGGCATGAGAATCGCTTGAACCTGGGAGGTGGAGGCTGCAGTGGGCCAAGATGGCTGCAGTAGCCTGGGCAAGAAGAACGAAACTCCATCTCAAGAAAAAAAAAGAAAATGCAAAATTTATGTGATGCTCAGATTGTTTCCTAATATGTCTTTTTTTTTTTTTTTTTTTGAGACAGAGTCTCACTCTGTCACCCAGGCTGGAGTGCAGTGGCGCTATCTTGGCTCACTGCAAGCTCCGCCTCCCAGGTTCACGCCATTCTCCTGCCTCAGCCTCCCGAGTAGCTGGGATTACAGGTGCCTGCCACCACGCCTGGCTAACTTTTTGTATTTTTAGTAGAGGCGGGGTTTCACCGTGTTTGCCAGGATGGTCTCGATCTCCTGACCTTGTGATCTGCCCTCCTCGGCTTCCCAAAGTGCTGGGATTACAGGCGTGAGCCACCGGGCCGGCCCCTAATATGTCAATCTTGTTGGAACAAATTAACAATTTCTTTTTCTTTTCTTTTTTTTTTTGAGACAGAGTTTCACTCTTGTTGCCCAGGCTGGAATACAATGGTGTGATCTCATCTCACTGCAACCTCCATCTCCTGGGTTCAAGCAATTCTCCTGCCTTAGCCTCCCAAGTAGCTGGGATTACAGGTGCCTGCCACCACGCCTGGCTAATTTTTTGTATTTTTAGTAGAGATGAGATTTCACTATGTTGACCAGACTGGTCTCACACTCCTGATCTCAGGTGATCCACCCACCTCGGCCTCCCAAAGTGCTGGGATTACAGGCGTGAGCCACTGTGCCTGGACCAAATTAACAATTTCAAAGTAAGCATTATAGCAGAACTGACAGCTGGCTTGCTTTTATCCCATGGACGTGGTGTCAAAGTTTCCTTCTTAGCTCTGACCACCAGGAAGCTCAGAGCTAGATATATGACATGTCTCCCACTTTGTGTCACATTTTTTCCTGCGCTTATTTTACATTGTCTTATTTTCATTTCTTTACTTCTTCTCCTTCCCTCATTTCCTCATTTTATTGTATGTTATGTTTGTGCCCTTTTTTTTTTTTTTTAAGACAATAGTGTTGCTCTGTTGCCCAGACTGGACTGCAGTGGAGCGATCTCGGCTCACTGCAACATCCACCTCCCAGGTTCAAGCAATTCTCCTGCTTCAGCCTCCCTAGTAGCTAGGATTGTAAGCGTCCACCACCATGCCTGGCTAATTTTTATATTTTTAGTAGAGATGGGATTTCACCTTGTTGACCAAGCTGGTCTCAAACACCTGACCTCAGGTGATCCACCCACCTTGGCCTCCCAAAGTGTTGAGATTACAGGCGTGAGCCACCGCACCTAGCCATTTTTGCCTTCTAATATGTGTCCAAAAGCCACCTCAAACCCTTTGTTTTAGACCAGGTGGGGACGTATGTCAATTAGCATCGAACAGCTTAAGGGTCAAGGTGGAAAAGACTTCAGGAAGCTTGAAGATGACCTGGTCCAAGCACTCCTAAGGTGCTGGAGGTCTCTCTTCAACCTGCCAGTCAAGTATCCACTGGCCTCTGTATTTATTTATTTATTTGTTTATTTTGGAGACGGAGTCTCACTCTGTCTCCCAGGGTGGAGTGCAGTGGCACGATCTCGGCTCACTGCAACCTCTACCTCGCGGGTTCAAGCAACTCTCCTGCCTCAGCCTCCCAAGTAGCTAGGATTATAGGTGCCCGCTGCCATGCCCGGCTAATTTTTTGTATTTTAGTAGAGACGGGGTTTCACTGTGTTGTCCAGGCTGGTCTCGAACTCCTGAACTCAGGCAATCTGCCCGCCTCGGCCTCCCAAAATGCTGGGATTACAGGTTTGAGCCACTGCATCCAGCGGCCTCTGTTCCTAAGACAGGGCCCCCATCACCTGCCCAGGGCTACTTGCTGTGTCTCTGAACAACTTGGCTGTCACTAAGCTCTAGCATGCAGTGAAATCTTTCTCCCTGAGGCCCCAGTCAACATGTCCCAGTTTAGTCTCTTGGGCATGGAAAACACCTCTTAAGCCTGTATTAATCCAGAACAACACAGTCATCATCCTGATTAACGGCAGCACATGGAGCCGGGGTGGAGTGGGGTGGGGTGGGGGAGGCTGTATTGCACAATGGTTCTGAGCCAGGTTCTAGACAAGAGGCTCAAACCCCAGGACTACCTCTTACTACCTAAGCGGGGTACTTAACTTCTTGGTGCCTCATTTTGCTCATTTGTAAGGGCCACATTCTAGGGTTGCTATGAGGCTTCAGTGAGAGAACGCAGGTAAAGTCCCCAAATCAACGCTGTCTGTTACTTACGGTTATGAGGCAGGGCCCTGAAGCTTCTCAAACCTTCTGGGCAAGCAAAGGCATCTTTCCAGAGCTTGGAGTTTGCTCCAGGGTGAGCAGTTTAAATGTGACTTTTATACGAAGTAGATATTTTGAGGAGTAGAATATAAAATTCACAGGACTATTTAAGATACAATCTTAAGACTCCGAAGAACTGTTCAGCTGGCTACACCCCATGAGTATATATTTATTCATCTTTCCCTGCCGTTGGGCCACAAGAAACCCTATTAGTCAGGTCTGAGCGGCCCTGAAGGGATGGATGCTCAGCTCGTAACTTAGGGCGTTCCGAAGAGCTGCTGCCCAGCAATCTCATGAGAATGTTCTTGTTCGCTTTTCTTCCCTCCTCCTCACTAATCTGAGGGTGCTCAAAACTGCCACAGGGTAGTCGACCACTGTACCTTTCCTGTCCAAGAATTCGATGCCTTGGGTTGCAAGAATGTTTGAAATGATGTGGTGTCCCTGGGGGAGAAAGCAGAAAAAAAGCAGGGGTCAGCAGCTCTGACCTACCCCTTGGAAGCTTTTGGACTGACTGACTCCCTTAGCTCTAGGGGCGGACAAAGTTTGTCTGTGCCTATCGTGGTGGCTCACACCTGTAATCCCAGTGCTTTGGGAGACTGAGGCGGGAGGATCACTTGGGACCAGGGGTTGGAGACCAACCTGGGCAACATAGCGAGATCTCATGTCTACAAAATTAAAAAAATTAGCTGGGCATGGTGGCAGGCACCTGTAGTCCCAGCTACTCAGGAGGTTGAGGCAAGAAGATTGTTTGAGACCAGGGGTCAAGGCTGCGGTGAACATAATTGTGCCACTGTACTGTAGCCTAGGTGACAGTGAGACCTTCTCTCAAAAAAAAAAAAAAAAAGCCTGTTTGTTATTTTGATTTTTTCACTTCTGTACTCTTATTCTTTTTGTTGTTGTTGTTTTTTGTTTTTTTGAGATGGAGTTTCGCTCTTGTCACCCAGGCTGGAGTGCAGTGGCACAACCTTGGCTCACTGCAACCTCCGCCTCCTGGGTTCAAGTGATTCTCCTGCCTCAGCCTCCTGAGTAGCTGGGATTACAGGCATGCGCCACCATGCCCAGCTAGTTTTGTATTTTTAGTAGAGATGGGGTTTCTCCACATTGGTCAGGCTGGTCTCCAACTCCCTACTTCAGGTGATCTGCTCACCGTGGCCTCCCAAAGTGCTGGTATTACAGGCGTGAGCCACTGCGCCCAGCTCTGTGCTCTTATTCTTGCCATGTCTTTTCTCTTTAGGCACACAGGATACTGTCACCCTCTTAGGTTTACTTCACTGTGTAAACTCAGAGATCAAGACATCCCTCAGCAACTGGCAGAAATGTGGAGTTTATAGAACAGTGAGATGGTGGTTTAAAATATATGAAAATAAAAAAGATTGCCAGCCACCTGGAACTGTGACCATCTGAAGGATCTCCCTGACAGGGCCGCAGAGGTAGGCATTAGGTCTGAGATGACTGGGCCTCCCTTCCCCTTTGTGTGGGTCATGCCCACCAACGCTGAAGTACAATCCTGGTTAAGGTTATGGCTCTTGCTATGGTTTGAATGAGTCCCTCAAAGTTTACGTGTTGGAAACTTAATCCCCAATGCAACAGTGTTGAGAGGTGAGAAATTTAAGGGGTGATTAGGTCACTTGGGCTCTGCCTTCATGAATGGATTAATTTGGTTATTGCAAGAGTGGGCTAGTTATTGTGGGAGTGGGTTCCTGATACAAGGATGAATCCAGCCTCTCTTCTCTGGAGCATACGTGCTCTCTTGCCTTTCTGCCTTCCATCTATGAGGATGCAGCAAGAAGGCCCTCACCAGACACAGACCCCATGACCTGGGACTTCCCAGCCTCCAGAACCATAAGAGGTAAATCTCTGTTTTTTGTAAATGATCCAACTCAGGTGTTCTGTGATAGCAGCACAAAACAGACTAAGACAGCTCTGAAACCTCACTTCTTGGGTTTGCAACCTGACTCCACCATTTGGCTGCTGTGCAATCTTGGGCAGTTGCTGAACTTCTTAGAACCTCAGTCTCTGCATCTATACAATAGGGATAATCATATTGAGCTCCTTGGATTGTTAGGAGGATTCAGAGTGTATGTTAGCACATATAAAAAGTATCCTCTAGGTGGCCAGGCACGGTGGCTCACTCCTGTAATCCCAGTTCTTTGGGAGGCTGAGGTGGGCAGATCACGAGGTCAGGAGTTTGAGACCAACCTGGCCAACATGGTGAAACCCCATCTCTACTAAAAATGCAAAAATTAGCCAGGCGTGTTGGCACATGCCTGTAATCCCAGCTACTCGGGAAGCTGAGGCAGGAGAATCACTTGAAACCAGAACGTGGGGGTCTCGGTGAGCAGAGATCGCACCACTGCACTCCAGTCTGGGCGAAAGAGCGAAACTCCATCTCAAAAAGAAAAAAAAAGAAAAAAGTGTCCTCGAAATGTTAGCTATTATTACCTCCTAAAGGAGGAAGAGAAAGGATCTTGCTGTGTCAGCCTCTATTATTAGTGTCCCTTCTAGAGGGCAGTAAGGGGATAGTGTTACTGGCCCCTCCCAATGCCCAATTCCCAGGCACTAGGTGGCCCCTGAATCAGGGCAGATGGAAAACATGAAAGAAGGAACAGGGGTCCTTACCCTTTCCAAAGGGTGGCCAGGCTTCTCTCAGACCCCTCCCTTCACCCCAGCAGCCACAGGGAGCAGGTGCAGGGGACAATGAGTTGGCAGCTTGCAAGAGAAACAAAGGTCTCTTGTTGCCTGCTTCTAGGTGCTGAGGTGGCTGAGCCACAAGGGAACCCGGGATCTGGCCTCCCTTTGGTTTCCAGGTTTCCTATAAAACCCTGGCGGGATGGCACAGAAAGAGCAGGGTTGATTCTTTCCTCCATCCCTCTCTTGCCCCCTTGGACTGTCCACCTGTCCGCCCACATAATCCCATAGTTCCTGCTCATGAGCACAGTATGACCCCCTCTGAGAAGGAACTAGGACAGTGGTGCTCAGACTAGTTGCCTATGAAACCCCCCAGGGAGGTTTGAAAAACCCCATTGTTCAGCCCTGACTCCTGAGATTCTGATCTGATTGTTCTGGAGTGGGGGGCGGGCATTGGTGAGTCTAATCCCTACCCTCCCACCCTAACCAGGTGATTCTGCTGTGCAGCCAGGCTGGAAAGCCTGACAGAGGAGCTGCGGAACAGGGTGGAGTTGAGACGTGGAGCGGTGGGGGCTGGTGGGGGCGGGTAGAGCTGCAAGGGAGGTGATGGGGAATGTCCAAGTTCAGTTTTGCTGCCCTGAACTCCCTATCCTCAGGGAGGCCTGGTGCGACTTCAGAGCATCCCTAGTGCTCAGCAACTTCTCCCAGACACGCTCCCACGGATCCTTCCAGCCCCTCCCTCTCAGGAATCCAAGTGCCTGGGGCACGTGGGAGGGCGTAGGAAGGGGGCCAGCCTGCACATGCCCTTCTGGAAGGTTTTACCAGACTGAGGAGATATGCGGACCATGTGCTGCGTTTTTCAGAACGCTAATTCTACTCACAACTTAGATCATATACTTTTTTTTTTTTTTGACGGAGTCTCTCTCTGTCACTAGGCTGGAGTAGTACAGTGGTACACTTCGGCTCACTGCAACCTCCACCTCCTGGGTTCAAGCGATTCTCCTGCCTCAGCCTCCCAAGTAGCTGGGACTACAGGTGCATGCCACCACACCCAGCTAAGTTTTGTATTTTTAGTAGAGACGAATTTCACCATGTTGGCCAGGATGGTCTTGATCTCTTCACCTTGTGATCCACCCGCCTCAGCCTCCCAGAGTATTGGGATTACAGGCGTGAGTCACTGCACCTGGCCTTTTTTTTTTTTTTTTTTTTAAGACAGGATCTCACTTTGTCACTCAGGCTGGAGTGCAGCAGCAAGATCTTGGCTCACTGCAGCCTCAACCTCCTGGGCTAATCCTCCCATCTCAGCCCCCTAGGTAGCTGAGGCCACAGGCATAAGTCACCATGCCTGGCTATTTTTTTGTTGTTGTTGGTATTTTTAGTAGAAACAGGGTTTTGCCATGTTGCTCAGGCTGGTCTCAAACTCTTGGGCTCAAGCAATCTGTCTGCCTCGGCCTCCCAAAGTGCTAGGATTACAGGCATGAGCCACCGTACCCGGCCTTCATATTCTTAATACTTAGTCCTAGAATGTTCTCTTTTTAAAAACATAGCTTTGACAATGGATAGTAACTGGCAGCCTTATGTTGATTCTCACTGTCTCTTCTATTAAACAACAACAACAACATTTAATAGAAATTCCCATGTGTGGGACCCACTGATCCAGATTCTGCCATGAGGAAATTCCCAGACTGGGCTCCATTCTAATCTGCACTAAAGAGCCCCCTCCTTGGGCTCTGTAGAACCTGTCCCAGCTGCCCATCTTCTTCCTGGACTGTCCCCTGTAGCCAGGATGTCCATTTGCAGTCCCTAGCTGGGGAAGCTCATGTGGCCTGCTGGCTCTGCCCAGAATGCCATCCACCTCCCACTCTCTCCCAGACTAAATATCCACCTCTCACAGCAAGGCTGAGTCCTGACCTGCCTCGCATTGGAGTTTAAGCTACAGTGCAAATATAGTGAAACAGCAGGAAAGGGCCAGGTGCTTGAGTCATACTACATTTTGAAAAGAGGAAAGATCTTTTTTTAAAAACAAAACAAAAAAACATTGTTGCATTATAATAGAAGTATAGTAAACTTCATACTTAAAGTTGTATTAGATACCTTGAAATAATTTTGTGTTTAAAAAAAAAATGTATTACTCAGGAGGCTGAGGTGGGAGAATCATTTTAGCTCAGGAGGTGGAGGTTACAGGGAGCCAAGACAGACCCACTAACTCCAGCCTGGGTGACAGATTGAGACTGTCCCCAAAAGATTATTTTTATAAGAAAAGGAATTCATTTCTTACAGTTATGGAGGCTGAGAAGTCCAAGGTCGAGGAATCACGTTTGGTGAAGACCTTTTTTTTTTTTTTTTTTTTCTGCTCCTTGTGTAGCAGGGCTACCCCATAGGCAGTGGTCCAGAGCAGCCCAAGGGCCTTGGTGTTGGTGGGGCAGGATGTCACATGCAGAGTGGGGCTGAGCTGCTAGATGAGGTCTCTTCCTTTTTATAAAATTATTTTTAATTGGCACATACTTGTGCATATGTACAGGGTACAGTGTGATTTTTTTTTTTTTTTTGGAGACAGAGTCTTGCTCTGTCGCCCAGGCAGGAGTGCAGTGGCCCCATCTCGGCTGGTTGCAAGCTCCGCCTCCCGGGTTCACACCATTCTCCTGCCCCAGCCTCAAGAGTAGCTGGGATTACAGGCGCCCACCACCACGCCTTTTAATTTTTTGTGTTTTTTAGTAGAGATGGGATTTCACCATGTTAGCCAGGATGGTCTCCATCTCCTGACCTCGTGATCCGCCCGCCTCGGCCTCCCAAAGTGCTGAGATTACAGGTGTGAGCTAGGGCGCCCTGCCACAGTGTGATATTTCAATACGTGTATGCGATGTGTAATAAGCAAACCAGCTAATTAGCGTTTCCATCACCTTGAACTTATTTTTTTTTTTTGAGACAGGACCTCCCTGTATTGCCCAGGTTGGAGTGCAGTGGTACGATCACAGCTCACTGCAGCCTCGACCTCCTGGGCTCAAGGGATCCTGTGCTTCCCCAAATAGATGGAAGCACAGGCATGCACCACCATGCCCAGATAATTTTTGTATTTTTGGTAGAGATGGGGTTTCGCCATGTTGCCCAGGCTCATATCAAACATGTATATGCATTGAGATACTTTGTGTTTTAAACATCTTTACATACAAGTGACAAGGATTCCTTTTCTTTTGAGACAGGGTCTCGCTCTGTCGCCCAGGCTGGAAGGCAGTAATGCAATCACAGCTCACAGCCTCGAATTCCTGGCCTCAAGCAATCCTCCCACCTCGGCCTCCCAGAGTGCTGGGACTACAGGCGTAAGTCGCCATGGGGTGCCAAGGATCCTCTTTCTTAATGCCTTCAGTCCTTGTCAGGTTTCGTACCCTCATTACCCAATTCTGACTACAAGGAGATGTAGGAACTTGAGGTGGCGCCGCTAGAACAGCCTTTGTTCTAAGAGCGCTGGACTCCTGATCACTGGCAAGCTGTTTCACATTCTTCTGCGACTTTTGGTGTGTCCTTTGACTGCGTCTGTGGAGACCAGATACTTACTTTGTTTTCATCCCGTTAGGCCCCCAGCAGGGTTGGTGGGAAGTGCACAGATGGAAAAGCGCCAGAAAGGGAAAGGCTGGGGCTGCAGGCCTCTCCCTGAGGCTGCCGGCCCCTTCCCTCCTCCCAAACCCAGACTTCCCACGGCCTGGTCCGCTTTTTTTTAGGCTAAGCGAAATCGTTTTGCGGCTTCTTCAGACACTGGAACCACCACCTGCTAGAGGCCGGCTCCCAGGTTCTCCTCGTGGGGCACCCAGGAGAGGAAAGTGCCCAGGGAGGAGGAGGGAGTGCAGCGCAGCAGGCGCCGCGGGGAGGAGAGCGCGGATGGAGCCAGAAGTCGCCCCTTGTTCCCCCGGCGCCCGCCTCTTCGCGGATCGCGCCCGCACTCGGCTTAACTAGATACCGAGAGCAGAGGCCGGGGAGAAGGGAGCGGGCGCGAGGCGGGCAGAGACTGCAGCGGACGGGAAGGGCGACTGGCCGCGGCCGGGCCGAGGGTCCCCACGAAGTTGGAAACCGGAGACTTGGGTCCCTGCCCAAAAAGCAGTATCTGACGTTACCGAGGGAGAGTTCCCGACAAAAAAGGAAGTTTTTATCTGCTTCGGGGACCCAGTAGATTTCTACAATAGAAAGTGTACTCATCATGCGGGGGAGGACTTCACCAACAAGGGTGCAGGGGCGAGGGCTTCCTTGGACCCAGGCAAAGGCCGCGGGGTCCAGGCAGCACGAGGTTAAGGCTGGGAGGGGGTTCTGGCGACAAAGGGCCGCGGCCCGAGTTCTTGCTGAGAGCTGCCCCAGAAGGGTCGACGCGGAGGTTGGGCTGAGGACTGCGGGCCGCCGGGGAGCCCTGGGCTGGGCGCCCTCCCCGCGCCCTGGTCGCCCCCACGCCCTCCCGCTCTGCGCGCGGCAGCGCCTACCTGGCTTTGGCCGCGGGCCCCGGGTACCGCTGCACCGCCGAGAAGTACAGAGCAAAGAGAAGTCCCGAGCAGGCAGCCGTGAACAGGAGCAGCAGCCAGAAGAACGGCCCGCGCGGGAGCCCCATATAGCCCCGGCCCGCGAGCGCCCCGGCCGCCGACGTCCCGGGCAGAAGGGAGAGGCCCGGGTGGGCCGGGTGGCACTTGCGGAGGCGGCCGTCCTGTCCTGCCCCGCCCTGCCCGCCCGGTGCCTGCGGCACCTCCCCGCCCGGCAGCTCCCTCTCGGCCCCAGGTGAGCGGCCAGACGCTTCTGCACCCTCGGGGGCTGGGCGGCGAGTCCCCTGGGGCTAGAGTGTCGCCCCGGCACCCGGAACGTGCAATCCTCTAGCCCTGCCCCCTGCCCGGGGACTTCGGCAGCGGCCACTCCTGCAACTGCGCTCTCTCCAGCGCCCAGCCCCGGGAGGCCGCCAGTCTCGGCTTGGTCAGGGCGCTTTCCTCGCGCGGTCCGGGTTTGGCTAGGTGCGGGTAGACGCCACCACCTGCCGCGCTGGCTGCGCTCTGCTCTCTCCGGGCCAGGCACTCAACTTCCTGACTCCGTGTTGGGTGGGCGGCGGCCGGGAGATCTGCCCGGCGCACTCCAAAGGACCCTCAGACCTGTCAGTCTGCGGACACCAGGACAGCTGGGAGGGGGCGGGCAGGATGAAGGAGCAAACCCCAAGAGCTCAGTCTCTGGGCTGGCGGTAGGGAGGGCAAAAGGGGGTGAGGTGGGGAGCCTGCCCTGATGTGTTGCGTGGGGAAACTGAGGCTGTCAGCGCTTATTTGGTGATCATCCAGGGTGGCCAGTCCCCTCAATCGCATTGAGTTCCTTTCACAGAACGAGGCCAGTCAGAGAGACCACCTGAAAGGTTCAGCACAGCAGGTTCCCAAACTTGTTGGCACCAGGGACTGGTTTCCTGGAAGACAGTTTTTCCACGGACGGGTGGGGGTGGGGGGTTGGGTATGAAACTGTTCCGCCTCAGATCATCAGACATGAGTTAAGATTCTCTTATAAGGAGCCCGCAACCTAGATTCCTGGCATGCGCAGTTCACAAAAGGGTTCGCGCTCCTTTGAGACTAATGCCGCGGCTGATCTGAAGGAGGCGGAGCTCAGGCGGTAATACTCCTTCACCCGGCGCTCACCTCCTGCTGCGAGGCCGGGTTCCTAACAGGTCGCGGACCAGGCTTGGGATTGGGGACCCCTGGTCTAGCAGGCTCCAGCATCAGAAAGGGCTGGGAAGCTCAGCCCCTGTGCTAAGTGGAGCACTCCCATGCAGTGAGTGGTGGGTGAGATTGGTGTGCTCCAGTGGGCACTATTCAGAAAGCTGTGACATGCCCCAGACCCCTAACTGTCAGGAGGCTGCAAGGATGAGAAGGACCTACGCTACCGTGTCACATGCTTTCTGCTCTAATCTGTTCTTCGTGTATCCGAGGAAGTCTGGGTGCAGCAACAGGTACCTGTCCCATTGCAAGGCTTCCCGAAAACCTCCCAGGGCCTGGGCCTGTGGTCAGGAATGGCCATTCAGTCCATCCAGGCTCAGTTCTCCTACCAAGGCAGGGTCACTGGAGGTCACTCAGATTGGGCCGCCAGTTCTTTCCTTCACCCGAAGACTGCTCAGCAGAGCCAGGCTCACCTTGCTACCCTGCAGATGGGCACTACTTGGAATTGATGGTGTCAAGACTTTCATTTCAATCTTTATGGATTTACTTGTCAAAATTCCTGTAGATGTTACTTATCCCCTGATCATTGGCTTCTCACATTTCCTCAGACCCTCTTTCTGTGCCCATAAATCCCCCTCCTAGTCCTTGTTCTCAGTAAGTGCCTTACCTTCTACTTCATGGAGAAAAGGAGAATCGTTCATTAGTAATTTATTTAACTTTCCACCTAAAAACTTACAAACTTGGCCGCCACCATAGCCCAGCCTTTCCCTGCCAGGACTCCAGTCTTTTTTTTTTTTTTTTTTTTTTTTTGAGAGAGTCTCACTCTGTCACCCAGGCTGGAGTGCAGTGGCATGATCTCGGCTCACTGCAACCTCCACCTCCCGGGTTCAAGTGATTCTCCTGTCTCAGCCTCCCCAGTAGCTGGGATTACAGCAGGAGTGCACCACCACACCTGGCTAATTTTTTTGTATTTTTAGTAGGGAGGGGGGTTTCACCATGTTGGCCAGGCTGGTCTCAAACTCCTGACCTCAGGTGATCTGCCCACCTAGGCCTCCCAAATTGCTGGAATTACATGCACTAGCCACTGCACCAGGCCTTAGGACTCCAGTCTTAAGGGTTGGGGAGAAGGTCCTCTCCTCCTATGTGGGAGTTAACTCCCCCATCTGTGTTAATGACCCGGGTCCACCTCCAGTGTCTTAAATGGCAGTACTCCCCTCACACCAAAGTCTCCTATCCACCCACCTGGAGTTCTCCTTCCTCCCATCTTCAGCCTCACAGGACCTCCAGGGTCTCCATCCTTCCATTTTCTCCCAGTGGGCCAATCCTCTCTCAGCAGCTTTCTTTCCTATCTAGGCAGGACTCCCTGGGTTATAATCTGAGCTACTCCCGCATAAGTAACCCAGATTCTCTTGTGTTCCCGGCTTTCTGCCCAGCAAAACTCTGACCTGGATTCACTCTTGCCTCTGCCTCTCCTGTGCTGCCTGCCTCTGGCCTGGCTGAGTGCCGTGGGGGTTGGGGGCAGGGGGTAGCTCATTCCAGAGTGAATTGGGAACACAAGTTTGGCCTCAGCTGGCTCTCAACATCAGCCATTTCCTTATCCTTGCTCAGCTCCAGCTTCTCGCCTGCTCAACAATGATTCTAGAACTTACTTCTTTCCTCAAGCCTCCTCTTTTCCCAGCCATACCTGTGAGAAAATGGAGCCCATCAGGAGTGACCTTCAACTTCCCATGCCCTTAAATTCAAAGTCATCTTTTGTTAAGAACTGTGCAGATTTCGCTCTACTTACAAGCTAACCAATGAGCCTGCCATAGTTCTGTGGATGCTGGTAGAAGACACAAGACTACTGGATCAGAGACGAAGGACTTTATTACTCATGGCGCAGCAAGCAACATAGACATCATGTTTGTGTCACTTCTCTTTACTCCTCAAGCCCCATGAGAGTCAGACAGAGAGGCCCAGGTGGGTGTTGCACACACAACCTACCTACCATGCCATTGCAGGACAGCTGAGAATCCCTGAGATAAGGGAACCACAGTCTTTTATAATGGGCTGCAAGCAAACCTGCCCTTGTCCAAGAGGGAGACATTATCTTTATTATGTTGGACAGTGAGGAAATGGGCCCTCTGCTCCAGAGGGAGGCACTATCTTTATCTTCCA